AGGGTTTAGGGTTTAGGGTTTAGGGTTTAGAGTTTAGGGTTTAGGGTTTGGCTGCAGGGCGTTTGAGGCCGAGAACGCGGAGCTGGGGCTGCTGGGGGTGCCGCGGGCGCTGAAGAAGCTGGAGAGCCGCGCAGCAGCAGCAAAGAAAGTCTTGAGTGCCAACAAAGCAACAAATGTGAAGATTGAAGGAGTTTACAAAAACAAAAGTTTGGAAAAGCTGCTGACGCGCGAGGCCCTGGAGCAGCAGCTCGAGCGCAGCAGCAGCAGCAGCAGCAGCAGCAGCAGCGGCGGCGGCGGCGGCGGCGGGGGGCTGCTGCAGCAGGTGGGCGCTGCTGCAGCAGCCGCGCTCGCTGCTGCGGGCGAAGCTGCAGCAGCAGCAGCAGCAGTGGAGCTGCTGGGGGGCGCCTGGAGAGTGCCGCGAGTGCTGCAGGAAATTAAAAAAATAAAAGGAGACAGCAGCACGAAAACTCATTTAAATGGAGACGAAGCAATGGCAACAGGAGCAGCATTTGCTGCTGCCAATGCCACTTTGACTTTCCGCGTCAAGAAGCTGCTGCTGCACGACGGCTCGCCCCACACCTACTCCCTGCGCTTCCTGCCCCTGCAGCAGCAGCAGCAGCAGCAGCAGCAGCAGCAGCAGGAGAAGGTGCTCGTCCCGCCCTTTGGGAAGCTCAGCGGCAGCAAAAAGGTCTCCTTCAAAACCCAAAATGATTTTGCTGTTGAGCTGCTGGAGAATGGCCACGTCTTGACCACCCACGCAGTCTCCGGCGTCCACGCTGCGCTGCAGCAGCAGCAGCAGCAGCAGCAGCAGCAGGGGGAGGAGGAGGAGGTCTCGAGAGCGGAGTTAATTTTCTCAATTGACACTGCAGGGGTAATTGAGTTGAAAGATGCAAACTTGGTTGTGGAGAGGAGTACGTACACCGCAGAGGACCCGAAGGAGGCTCCTGCTGCTGCTGCTGCTGCTGCAGGTGCAGGTGCAGATGCAGCAGCAGACCCAGCCGCAGCAACGGGAGACGCCGCGCCAGCAGCTGCATCAGCAGCAGACGGCGAGGGGGAGAAGAAGTGCAACGACCCCTCAGACCCCGCCTGTGCCGCTGCCAGCAGCGACAGCAGCAGCAGCAGCAGCAGCAGCAGCAGCAGCAAGGGGAAGCGGGTGAAGGTCGCGTCTCGGTACCCGCTGAGCGTGAGCAGCACGCACGCAGCTCCGGTGCCGCTGTCTGCTGCGGAGAAGAAGCAGCTGCAGCAGCTGCTGCTGCAGCAAGAAGCAGCAGACCGCGAGGCGCTGCTGCTGCAGGAGTCCCTTAATGCTCTCGAAACTTATATTTATGCAGCAAGAGCCCAGCTGCGGGAGGGGAAGCTAGACGAAGTAACGGAGCAGCAGTTTCGGGAGCAGCAGCTGCAGCAGCTGCAGCAGCAGGAGGACTGGGTGTACGGGGAAGCAGCAGCAGCAGGCCTTGCTGCAGTGCAGCAGCAGCTGCAGCAGCTGAAAGACACCATGGAACCCGTCTTCCTGCGGCAGCGGGAAGCAGCAGCAAGAGTCTCCTTAATCCCCAAAGTTGACCAGCTGCTGCGGGATGCTGCAGCAAGACTGGAGCAGCAAGCAACAGCAAGGCCGTGGGTGGCAGCAGCACGGGTTTCGAGTGTACGTACAGCGCGCGAAGAGCTGCTGCAGTGGTGGCAGCAAATCAAGCAACAGCAGCAGACGCGCTCGCTGCTGCTGCCGCCGCTCTTCACGGAAGCAGAAGTAAAAGCAAAAGTCAAAACTCTTCTTAATCAAATCAAAGCTCTCGAAAACATTCCCAAACCTGCCAGCAGCAACTCCAAGGGGCCCCACGCCAAGAAGGAAGGAGCAGACAAGGAAGCAGCAGCAGACAAGGCAGCAGCAGCAGACAAGGAAGCAGCAGCAGACAAGGAAGCAGCAACAGACAAGGAAGCAGCAGCGGACACGGAAGCTGCAGCAGACAAGGAAGCTGCAGCAGAGAAGGGAGCAGCGGAGGAGGAGGCAGCAGCAGATAAGGACGCAGCAGCAGATAAGGACGGAGCAGCAGATAAGGAAGCAGCAGCAGAGAAAGAAGCAGCAGCAGATAAGGAAACAGCAGCAGATAAGGATGCAGCAGCAGAAGCAGCAGAAACAGAGACAAAGGAGGAGGCAGCAGCTGAGGAAGAGACACGAAAGGAAGCAAAAGACGAACTCTAAAGGTGGGGTTTGAGCAGCAGCAGCAGCAGCAGCAGCAGTTGCTGCTGAAAATTGACGTGAATTTGCAGCTGCGGCCGGCAGAGCAGCAGCATCTGCAGCAGCAGTTGCTGCAGGCGTTGCTGCGGCGGTTTTGCTGCGTGGGCGTCGGCAGCACAGAGAGGCCCCACAAACTTGAGGGTTTGGATTAAGGCTAGCGAGGGTTTAGGGCCTAGGATTTAGGGTTTAGGGTTTAGGGCCCCCTTGAGTAACTTATTATTTGTTGTTACGCTGCTTGGGGCAGAGGACAGGGGGCCCTGCTGCTGCGGGGGGCCAATGCGGCGAATGAACCAAAGTAGGCAGCCCGTTTTGCTGCTGCTGCTGCTGCTGCTGCTGCTGCTGTTGGTGTAGCAGCAGACCGTGCAGTTGCTGCTGCTGCTGCAGCAGCAAACCGCGCCGAGGCTGCTGCTGCAGCAGCAGCAGCAGCCGGCGTTCGGGTGTGTATGGGCGGCGCGGCCGGCCGCGGCGGCTGGGCTGTATGTACACCTGAGAGTTGGAACGAATTGTATTTAAACTTCTGAAGAATTATAATTCATTATTAGCTGCTGCTATTTACACTTAGAAGAGAAAAGAAAGAAAGAAAGGCGGAGAGCCGGGAGTGCTAGAGTTCCCTGTACGTACACCCCAGCATCGGGGGTTGCTCCCCCGGATCTCGGCTCTTTATGGAGGGTTTTCGTTGCTGATTGGACGAAAATAAATGTTTTTAATATTTTAAATCACTAAAAGAAACTCGGAAGAAAAACAATGCGCTGTTCAGTGGGCGCCGGGGTGTACGGGCAGGCTTGGGCTAACTGTGTCGGTGACTCGAGGGTTTCGCCGCGAGCACTGGACTCGCAGCTTTTTCTGCTTCTTCTTTCGCATTTCTTTTATTTATTTTAATTTTTTAAACTCAAATTCAATTTATTTACTTCCAAACGCGCCTTTTCTCTCCGTCGCGAGCAGGGCGGCAGCAGCCGCCGTCGCGGAGCCGGCGCTGCGCGCAAACCCTAAACCCTAAACCCTAAACCCTAGGCCCTCGCCCGTCTGCCGACTCCTCGCGGCCTCCCGCGCGCGGTCATGGGCCCCAGGTGTACGTACACCCCACCAGGATGCAGACAAACGCCAACAGAGTGGGGGCCCCTGTCCCTCACAAACCCCCGAGAATAAGAAAAAGATTGCCGAAGAGAATTCCCCCCGAGGCGGCTTTGGAGGTGCAGAGTCGAACCCTCTTGAGCCCGAAGGACATTGAACTGCTCTACGCGAGGCGAGGGTTTAGGGTTTAGGGTTTACGGTTTAGGGTTTGCGCCCAAGAGCCACGTCCTAGGGTTTAGGGTTTCCCCAACACCCCCTCCGCACTCCCTCAGCCGCCAAGCCAGAGAGCCCCGCGCGCGGGCGCGGGCCGCTGCCGATGCAGCCCCCAGGGCCTAGGGTTTAGGGTTTAGGGTTTAGGATTTAGGGTTTAGGGTTTAGGGTTTGCGTTCAGGTTTCGCTGCGTCGCCCCTTATGGCCTCATGAACTACTCCGCCTTCTGCTCCATGTTAGGGGTTTTGGCGATGTTGAGGGAGACGCAAATAACGGACCGTCTCTTCAAGGCCTTCGACAGGGACCACAACACCGAGGTCCAAACCCTAAACCCTAAACCCTAAACCCTAAACCCTGGGCGCTTGAGTGTGCCGGCTGCTCCCCCGCGCACAGCGCTGTGCCCTGGAGCCACTTCCGCACAAAACCCTAGGGTTTAGCGCTCAGGGGCAGGGACTGGAGGTTGAGGGTTTAGGGTGTAGGGTTTAGGGTTTAGGGTTTAGGGTTTGCGGCTGCAGCTGAACTTCACCGAATTCGCAGTCGCCCTGGGGACAATGCTGTGCGGCAAAGAAGATGACAAACTTGACCTCGCCTTTAGGATTCTAAACCCCAGGTTTGTTTGTCTTTTTTTCTTTTTTTTAACTTCCTTTTCTCTTTTTTTTCTCTTTTTTGTCTCTTCTTTTTCTCGTTCTTTCTCCATTTCTTTCTATCATTTTGTCCCCTTTTGTCTCTGTCTCCTTCTGTCTCTTTTGGTCTCTTTTTTAGTCACTTTTTGTCACCTTTGTATCTCCCTTTGTCTCCGTTTTTGTCTCTTTTTGTCTCTCTTTTACCTCTTTTTGCCTCTTTTGTGTCCATTTCTCTGACTCATTTTGTTCCCTTGTGTGTGTGTTTTCTCCATCTCTTTGTGTCTCTTTTTGTCCCTCTTTTATCTTCATTTTTCTCTTCATTTTTGTCTCCTTTTGTCTTCCTTTTGGTTTGCTTTTGTCTCCCTTTTGCCTCCTTCTCTGTCTCCTTTTTTAAATCTTATTATTTCATTTTTTGCCTTTTTTGTTTCCTTTTTTGTCTCCTTTTTTCTCCTTTTTGTCTCTTTTTGTCTCTTTTTGTTTTCTTTCTCGTTTCATTTTCTATCCCCTTTTTTTCTCTCCTTTTATCTTCCTTTTAATCCCCTTTTTTGTTTCTTTTTGTTTCTTTTTTTGTCTCTTTTTGTCTCCTTTTATAGCTCCCGTTGTCTCTTTGGCTCTTTTTTAGTCTCCCTTCTCTATCTTTTGTGTCTCCCTTTTTGTCTCCTCCTTTATCTCCTTTTTCGTCTTCTCTCTTTTTGTCTCCTTTTTGTCTTTTTTTAATTTTTAAATTCTTTTTTGTCTCTTTGTAGTCTTTTCTTTTGTTTCTTTTTGTCTCTTTCTTTGCCTCCCTTTTAATCTCCTTTTTGTCTCTTTTTGTCTCCTTCATCTCTTTTATGTCTTTTGTCTTTTTTGTCCCTTTCTTTTCTTTTGCTTCTCCTTTTGCGTTTTTGCTGCTGCTGCTGCTGCTGCTGCTGATGCTGCTCTATTCCTGTGTCTTTGTTCTTTATTTCGAAGTGTTGAAGATTCTTTTTTATTTTTGTTTTTTTATTTTTTAATTTTAATTTCAATTTTTATTTTGCTGCTGTCTTTTGTCTCCTTTTGTCCTTTTATCTCTTAAGTGCCGTGTCCCCTGCCCCATCCACTGCCTCGCGTAAACCCTAAACCCTAAACCCTAATTTCCATTTCCTATTGTGCGGCTGTTGCTGCGTGTACCATAGCCGTAAACCCTAAACCTCAACTTTAATTCCCCACCACAGTAATCCCTAGGCCTTAAACCCTAAACCCTAAACCGTAAACCCTAGGTGCTTGGCTCCTTTGCAAGTTGACGAGCGGGGCGCCTGCTCGCGTGCTTACCTGCGAGCCAAACCCTAAACCCTAAACCCTAAACCCTTTCCGTTTGTGCTTAGCTTTACGGGGACCGGAGCCAGTCTATCTGACTATGACTTCGAAGATGACAACGAAGAAGATAGCAGCAGCAGCAGCAGCAAAGGCTCAAAGGAGGCACCAGGAGACGCAGAAGCAGCAGCAGCAAAGCCAGACGCGCAGCAGCAGCAGCAGCAGCAGCAGCAGCATCAGCAGAAGACACAGCCACAGACACAGCAGAGAAATCAGCAGGAAAACGCAGGCCGGCCGCCTTCGCCGCAGGCGCAGCTGCAGCAGCACCTGCACCAGCACCTGCACCAGCACCAGCAGCAGCACCAGCAGCAGCAGCCGGCAAACCCAGAGACTTCCCCGTTACCAAAGGTGCAGCTGCTGCGGCAGCAGCAGCCTGCTGCTGCTGCAGCGCCGAGCGAGCAGCAAGAGCCCGCTGGGGACCGGCCGCGCTCCCCGTCACCGCAGCAGCCGCAGCAGCAGCAGCAGCAGCAGCAGCAAGTGGTGTCCCGGCACGGGCGCGTGGTGAGTCTCGCAGCTTTTCGGAAACTCCAAACCCTCGTCTGTGCAGATAGTGTTTCCTTCGAGGGTTTTGTGTCTCTAATTCGAGCTGTGGAGGCTTCGCGGCGGATTCTGGTGGGGGATGAAAGAGCTGCTGCTGCTGCAGCAGCAATTAAAAGTGTCTTCTCCCGAGCAGCAACTTGGCTGCCGGACCAAACCCAAAGACTTTTCCTCAATGACTTCAAAGCAGCAGTCCGCAGCAGCCCCCCTTTTCTCGCGCTGCTGGGCGTTGACGTTGCTGCTGCAGCAGCAGACACCACTGCAGGCGGGCGCGCGGCCAAGGCCTGGAACGGTAAACCCTAAACCCTAAACCCTAAACCCTCGTCAGGCCCTGCGCCCCACACGCTGGCCCTGGCCGTTGCGCAGGCAGCGGCGCTGCTGTTCCCAGCTGCAGCACGGAGGCGGCTTGCTGCCGCTGGGATCGAGCAGGGCTAGGGTTCAGGGTTTAGGGTTTAGGGTTTAGGGTTTAGGGTTTAGGGTTTGCGTGCTACAGAGGCAAACGAGTCGAATAAGGCAAAGGCGGACGCCCCCGCGAAAAACACTCAAGACCCTTCAAACCAGCCATTCACCAGCACGCCGGGTTTAGATGCAGCAGAACGAAGGCAGCAGCAGCAGCAGAAGCAGCAGCAGCAGCAGCAACAGCGCCAGCAGCTGCAACAGCTGCAGCAGCAGCACAAACAGCATCTGCAGCAGCTGCAGCAATGCGTCGCAGACCTCCAAGAGATCGAGAGACACTTCTACAAACTAAAAAGGCAACTGTGGATGCAAGAGGGTGCGCTGCTGCTGCTGTCGTCGCTGTTGTTGCTGCTGCTGCTGGTGGTGTTGCTGTTCTTGTTGCTGCTGCTGTTGTTCCTGCTGCTGTTGTTGCTGCCGCTGGTTGATTTGCCTGGCTGTGTATTTGAATACCTCATCGCTGGCCTTTTCGCTGCTGCCGTTGCTGCTGCTGCTGCTGCAGACGTGTCTTCAAGCGACTGCAACCTGAGCTTGACGAACAGCGCAGCAGCACAGACAATGGCAGCAGCAGCAGCAGCGACAGGAGCGTCCATTGATGCAGGTGCAGTAGCAGCAGCAGCAGTAGCAGCAGCAGCAGCAGCAGCAGCAGCAGCATTTAGCTAGACACGGGGCAGGGGCCCCAGCTAATGCTGGAAGGGCGGCAGCGGTGGCAGCAGCAGCAGCAGCAGCAACAGCAGCA